AGTTCTGGAAAGACCCTAATCATAGTGATCAGTAATACTTGTCAAATGCTACAGGTGCTGGGCACTGTGCTCAGCCTCTCTCTTAAGGAGTCATTGAGTCCTTATGACATTCTATGAGATGGTGACTATTAAGATCCTGTTTTATAGATAAGAGAGTTGGTGCTCAGAGAGGGTCAGTAACTTGCCCAAGTCTGAACCAGAGCCAGGATTTGAACCTGGAATCCAGAGACGGTCCCCTTGCGTTTGCTGCAGTACGTGCACCAGGCTGGCAGCCTTAGTCTTTTGTCCATCCTGCAGCGCACACGGCATTCTCCCACTCTGTACCTGCAGAGGCAGAAACCTGCTGAGGTTACCATCCAGTCTGTGGCCAAGCTGGGGTCCGAGCTCTGGTCTGCCTGGCCTCAGAGCCCGTTGATGGCCCCAGGCTGCGCCTGCTGCTGGAATGGAAGCAGCTGGAACCCCTGTCTGATCTTGCCCCTGGCATCTCCCACCTCAGTGCCTTTATTCCCCTCTGCACCTCTTGGGCCTGCCCAGGACAACGTCTGCAATCTTAGACCTTGTGCAGGGTTTGGAAGTTGACGTGGGACCCTGCAGGGAACATGCCCCAGTTTCCCATTTCCTAATCTGTATTGAACATCTTACCAGGTGATTGTGAGATTTGAAAAGAGGCTTGGCAGGGGTGATTCACTGCTAGGCACAGAGAAAATGCTTACTATGTGACAGCCACTATCTCGTCCATAATGTTTTGGAAGCATCGTAGTTAAAGAAGAGTGGCTTCTCTGACCACTCAACGTCACAGGGTTCAGCTCCGTAAATTGTGGCTAAGCGCTTAGTCTATGGGAGCTCTGGAGACACTGTCGCCAGTGGGGAGACAGAGGTGACCACTTATTGTACACTTTGCTTTGTGCTGCTCAGAACAGGTGCCTTTTCATCAGACCTGAATAGATTAGTCAGGTTTTATCAGTTTGGAAGCAGGGGATGGACATGAGGAAACTTGGGTTCTGGCCAAGAAATCCATGTACTAAACATCTGTTTGATTGTCTCTTACTCAGGGGAGAGGCTGTCATGTTTGTGGGTATGGCCAAAATAATGCTGCCAGAATTACTCTGGAGGGTCCTTTAAGAGGATGCTGGACCAGACAGGTCTGTGTGCATTAAGGCCATGGAAAGGTGTTGGATGGTGTTTAGAGGCTGCAAGGAGTGACAAACAATAGATGTCTCAGTAGCAGAATCACATTCGTGGTGGTGAATGGTTTTTCTCCAGGGAAGGCATGGCAGAGCCCAGGGACTGAGTGCCCGTCAGGCACAACTCTCCTG